TCTAAAACGTTCGAGGAAATATAGAATATATATGAATAGCCAATAATTTACAAAATTTATTAGTGGGACTAATTTTTAAAAAATCTTTTTTATTCATGTTTAAAAGTTTACTTCAATTTCTTGTGCTTCATTTGTTGCTTTTCTTTTTTTCTTCTCAACACAATATAAATCAAGTCAATTACTAGTTTTTCAGGACACTTCAGATACTCCACATTTATGCTAGCTATGTTCAGTTTTTTATTTTTTATTTTTAAAAATGTTTAAAAACTTTTAAAAAGTTATTTTAATTTGATCACAATAATATAATATGATGTGTTAAATTTTAATTTATCACACACCACATTATTATGAGTAAATTTATAAATTTAAAATTATAAATCTATAACATTTCTCAAGAACTGATAAACTTAAAAGCTCAACTGCATTTATGGAATTATTACAGGGCCTAGATCTCAATAGATAGGCTGGTCCATCCTAAAACAAATTGATTTGAATTTGAAACATTGACCCTTTCTTTCACCCAATTTTGCCACATATTTTTTATGCTAATTTTGTCACATTGTAATAAGAGTGCGGTAAAATGAGTAATTGAAAATTTCATAAAGAAAAATGGTTGAGAGTACTAAAAGTGGTGCTCTAATAGCACCGCTAATGATGTGGCAGTGGGCGTATAGCGATCCTGGTTTTACCTTCATTGTTTAATTGTATTTCAGACTCAGTTCTGTGGATGTGCGTTGTGTCTTTATCGCATCTCCGTCCTTTACTCTTTGTATTTGAGTCTTGGGTTGTGTTGGATAGGTTTGAAACAGGTTGGTTATGTTTGGAAACCAAGAGTTAATGCCCAGATTTTGGCCTTCATGCTCGAGCGGGGCCTTTGCCTTTATTCCTTCGCTCGAGCAGGGATTTTGACGCTCGAGCGGGATTATTCATCTCTCAGTATTTTGTTCTGCAGGTCATCGGACGCTCGAGCGTTCACTTTCACGCTCGAGCGAGGACCTTCGTCTGCAGAACTTCTAGAAGTGTGCATTCGACGCTCGAGTGGCGCTTTTCACGCTCGAGCGTGAGTTTGTGTCTGACGCTCGAGCGGGGCATTCCACGCTTGAGCGGGCTGTGTGGTATATCAGTCCGTGGGGAAGCCATTTTTGAATCACTTTTCGACCTTCTCTCTCTCTCTAACTTTCCAAAACCTATTTTGAGAGTTCCTCTCTCTAGAATACACCTTCTCTGTACAAAATCACCTAGCTTTAGTGATCTTCCACCCTTGTCCCTTTGTAAGAAGTGTAGAGCTTGGTGTGGGCTACGTTTGGATCCGAAAATCTTTGGGTTTGGAGCACCTTCGAATTTCTTCATCATCACCTTTGGATCTCCCCATTTGAGGTAGGGATAACTACTCATATTTATGGTCTTTGACATAAACTTGTGGTCATTTTGATTTAATGTTGAAGGTGGAAAATTTTGGGTGTTAGGGTTTCAAAATGTATAAAGAGGGGTTCTGTTCTTTTGACCTACATATGTTTATTTTGGGTCTTAAAATGAGGATATTGATGTCTATTGATGAAATGTGGACCTTTGGGTCAATGTTGAGAAAATGGGAAGAAAAGCCCTAATTTATTGTGATAAATTAATTTGTATAATTAATTTGGGAAAGTTATGGAAATGTGAAATTGAGTTGGAAATAATGAAATTGGGTAATTATGAGCTTTAATGGTGGAGTTGGATTGATTAATCGCTCACATTTGAAATTGTAGATAATTTATCTGTTTGATAATTTATTATCTGTTTAGAAATAAATGTTTTGGGCTATCGGTGGAGGATAGTCTTGATTGTTGTAGACACTGCATGATGATTAGGTGAATTAAAACTAATCATATGAGTAGGTCATTGAATATGACGGATGGAATAACACATTGAATATGTGCTTTGCTTGATCATTGTATACGATAAGTGTTTAAATACATTGTATATGTATGTTGTTGGGAGAAGATAGGGGATGTACGCCATGGTTTGGGAGAAGATAGGGGATGGACTCCTAAACCGGGTTTGGGAGGAGATAGGGGATGGACTCCAGTGATAACTAAGTTGGCCGGAGTGTCCAGGGTGAAAGTCCCGAAATTTGAATTACGTTTGTATAACGTAGATGATTGAGGTATTGGAATGATGATAATTTGAGTTGTAATCTCATTTGAAATGGAAGTGTTAATGTGTTAATTATGAGAGTATAGTCTCATTTGAAATTGAATCATTGAAGTATTGTTAATATGAGTTGTAGGCTCATCATGAACTGTTTGGCTGAATAAGGAACCATATCTATGAATTGGTTTGGATAATAAAATGGAAAGGAATATATGTTTGTTTATACAAGTTAAACATTTATCAAATGCCTGTGTTTTAGTTATTGCTCATATTATGTTTAGCATATTTCTATTAGGCGTTGGCTCACCCTATAAGGGACATCATTTTCAGGTTCAGGAGTTATGCCACCTCTAAGGACGTAGCTTGGATGGTTTTGGGAGTCGAAGACTCTCTTGATTATTTTTTTCATTTTGGTGTTACATGTAAATCAAAGCCAAGGGCTTACTTTTGTAAAAAGAGTTAGGACTCTTCTTTTGTTGTAACCAAGTGTTGGCTTGGAAAGTTGTAAGCCCGTGGGGCATTTACTTTTGTTGTCAACATGTAACACTTTTTGTACTAAATACTCTGATAAATGAAATTATGCTTTATTTTCCATGCCTATGGATGCCATGATTGTTGGGTTTATATGTACTATTTTGAGGGCGTTACAGGGCGCCACCCACTGCTTATGCCTTTTTTTTTTCTTTTTCTTTTTTTGACATTACCAATACATTAGTGTTATTAATAGTCTTTTTTTTTAGTGGTATGAATCATTATTGTTTTCTTGTGAATTCAAAGTTTTCTTTTTATATATTCAAAATTCTTCATGTACTAAAATGCCATCATATTTGGTTTAATATTTTTACTGCATCAAAGAAAGTATTGAACAGAATAAGATAAAAATTGTGATTTTAACAAAAAGCTTCTGTCTTAAATTACAACCCAAAGTACAGCCTAATCCCTAACATCTGAGCAAATTTGGTTTGAGTTTTTTAAATTCACTTTTTAGAAAATTGAAATTTTTTTGTTTCGTATTTTTCTATTTTGTTTTTAATATTTTAAGCAATTTTTTTAAATTTTTATATACACCTAACATAAATACACTTAATATTTATGAAAAACCCAATAATAATTTATTTTTTGCTATCATCTAAACTGTCATCAACACTAATTTACTAATTTATTCATATAAGAAATTGAATAGTGAGATTATTTAAAATAATTTAAATAAATATATTATTTATACTAAAGAGCTTAAATTACATAGCTAAAAAAATAAAAATAAAATTACATAGTTAAAGAACCCAAAAGCTTATGTATCTACTATACAGAGCTTAAATTACAAAGCTTAAATTACATAGCTAAATAACCCTAACATCCGAGCAGTGGTCTTGTTCTTCATCTCCTCTGTCTGTGCTCTATTTGCAGCATAATGCAACTCATACCACTCGGTGAGGACCCAGAAGAAGATTCCAACTCGAATGAGGCAGACTCAGTTGAGAAGAAAGAATCAGACTCAACGTTTGGTTCACCATTGTCACGGTTTGAAAACAGCACTATTGCTGTGACTTCGATAGTAGAAATGATAAAGGGCCTCCCTAACAAACAATACCCACATAGGCAGGTCAGTGACGAGTGACATGAGGGGAAAAAAAAACCAAAAACAACCATTTCCAATACATTGTCGTTTGAGAGAGAGAGAGAGAGAGAGAGAGAGAGAGAGAGAAAGAGTTGGGGTGGGCTTATGACTTCAAGAGCAGAAATGATCAAGGACTCCCCCAACAACAATACCCACATAGACAGGTCAGTGATGAGTGAGATGAGGGCAAAAAAAACCAAAAACAATCATTTCCAATACATTGTCGCTTGAGAGAGAGAGAGAGAGTTGGGGTGGGCTTAGGGACTGAAACGAGTCACTTACACAGAGAGCTCTATTCACAGAAGAGAATGCATACATGGTTATGCTCTGCTTCCAATAAATATTGGAATTCAACTTTTTTAAAAATTAAATTTTTATTTTTTATATATTCTTATTTGAAAAAATTATTCACAAATTCCATTTCAGAAATTAATTTTTATGGTATGGTGTGGGTTTCTAATTCCATTCCATTCCACTCCATTTCACAAATCCCATATTCTTATTTGGATGTTTTCTTCTAAACTAATTATTCAAAAATTCCATAAGGAAAGCAACATAGAATATGGTCTTGACCCATCCATAGGGAAGGCAACAATGCAAGCAACCCAAGAGGTGGCTGAAGGAAAGCTTAATGACCATTTTCCACTTGTGGTGTGGCAGACCGGCAGTGGGACTCAAAGCAACATGAATGCCAATAAGGTAAGTAAACATTTATGAATCTTTGGTTTTTGGTTTCATGTTTTTCTAATTTTGTATGCTATTAACACCCAACTTGCATTGGTGGAATTTTAAAAAAACTTTGTTCAAATTTTTGTTGGTCTTCTTTTCTTTACGTTTTTGTTGTTGTGTGGACCTGGGGTCATTGTGTTCTAAATTTAGTCTCATATGATAACTTTTAGGGTATGTAGGCGGCTTGGCCTAACTATAAAGGCTTGCTATTAGTGTAGGTGCGGATTTGAGTGACGGGTGATTCAAACAACCATTGGCTCGACCATTGGGCAACTTAGGTGCTCATTGCTCACCTAAGGCCCTGCATAAAAGGGGGCCTCATTTTTTTTTATATGCAATGTATATATCAGACAAAAATAAAAGCAATGTTATAAAGGAAATTGGAAAAAGCAAAAATAGGCAAAAATGATCTCTCTTTAAATCGTATTTCATACATATCAAAACAAATTACCCTATCATTATTATATCTCTCAACAGTTATCATTATACTTTGCCCTTTCTCTGCATCATAACAAAGAAAATGGCAAAAGTATTTCTTACTGAAGAGGAGGAGATAGAAGATGTATGTATGAAAATAACAAAAGAAATTGGAAATATGGGAGAGGCCTGCAGGCCTGTGAAAGCAGTGCCGCTGTATTCTACGCTTCCTCTTGCTATGCAGTAGAAGATATTTGAACCTGCTCCTCCCCCCGACTGAGGGCGGCCCTCTTGGGAGGAAGATTGTAGTCTCAACAAACATTGCAGAAACTTCTTTGACCATAGATGGTATAATTTATGTGATAGACCCTGGGTTTGCAAAACAAAAGGTCTATAACCGTCGAATACGTGTTGAATCTTTGTTGGTCTCTCCAATATCAAAGGCTAGTGCTCACCAAAGATCAGGTCGTGCTGGAAGAACGCAACTAGGAAAATGTTTTAGACTCTACACTGAGAAAAGTTTCAATAATGATCTTCAGCCACAGACATATCCAGAAATACTGTGATCAAACCTTGCAAACACAGTTCTCACCTTGAAGAAACTAGGGATAGATGATCTGGTCCATTTTGATTTTATGGATAGTAGCCTATAGCTCACGTCAGTTGAAAACACATGAGAGGAACTATCCTACTCACGACTTAGGGTTAGCAACTGTGATTTTTGCCTTGAAGATTTGGAGGCACTACCAGTATGGTGAGAGATTCGAGGTAGTCTCGGATCATAAGAGCCTAAAGTACCTGTTTACACAGAAAGACTTGAATTTGAGGCAGAGAAGGTAGATGGAGTTTGTAGAGGATTACAACTTTGAGTTGCACTATCATCCGGGAAAGGCCAATGTTGTGGTAGATGCCCTAAGTAGAAAGTCCGTTAGTGATGTAGCTTGCATTGCTGTCCGAGAATGGGAAATGTTGGGTGCCCTTAGAGAGTTTGACTTGCAGTTGAGCGAGTCGATTGAGGCCGCAACTGTGGACGCGCCCTCGGGTTTTATGCTACCACAGTTTGGACTCCCTTTTGTGTCACGGTTCTTAGTCTGAACCAAAGAGTCTAAATTCGGCAAATCGTTTTGAGAAATCAAATTTTTAGAAAAGAAGTGCCAAACATGGACTGCTTTGCCAGATACAGAGTCGCCACCTAAATTTTTTTAATGGGAGAATTTAGGAAACCTTGACTCATTTGCCTAAGGCCACGTGTCCGTCATTACCAAAGTTGCCTCGGCTCGGGAACTTGGGTACGACTGGGGAAGGTCAGCTATGAGCACCCCCTCTCGCCCGATCCGAAGATCGGCCTCTACTAACCATGATATCCAATTTTGAAAACGTTATGTGTTCTTATTCCGGTTAATTAGCTAGAATTACTATGTGATGCGCACAGCGAAACAAGTATAGACTAGATCGCCTAATTTGGAACAAAGCATCGCATATCCGTTTGTTTGGAAAATGTTTTGAAATTTGCTACTCGTGAGTAAGCTAAGACACGGATTTTTGATGAGTTGTTCCAACTCAAGCAATCCAACCTTCACCCACAGGCATTCAGGCAGTTCATATAACATAAGCATCTAGCCACATGGTAAGCATGCTGTCATGTTAACATTCACACTCGTGCGAGATGCTAAAGCACAAAATACTTACAGTGTACTCCAAGCCAAAACAAAGAACTCGTTAGCAATCAATGTATGATCCAAGTCCATGTTAAATGCCTAATGCAACGCATACAGAATGCAATTAGGATAGGCTCGGCTAATCCTAGGATGGCATGTGAAATGCAACCATTTGATGTACATATTCAAGTTAGATTTGAAATACTTATGCAGTTAGCATGATGCACCGAGCCCAGTACATGTAATGCTGATGAATGATGCACGCATGCATAGCATAAGGTATGCTAAATTAAATATGCCCTAATACTAACCATCAAAGTAGGTAAGTAAAAGGGAGAAAGAAGTGGGGGTTGGAAAACATGCACACACGCACCCACACTTATTACAAATTTGCCCTCGCTCGGAGGGACCAAAAGAATAATACAATTAATTAACCTACAAGCTAACTAATTATCACAGACAAATTAAATTAGTTAAGCAAATCAACTAATCTAATAAAATAGTAAACAGCCTCGGGAAGAGAGCCCAAAGTAATGCATACTCAGTTCCGTTCGGAAGTCCACTGCCATGCACAAGTTGCCTCTGTTTTTACTGTTTGGCACCTCTAAAAATTGCACAAACTCCAAGGTTGCTTCTTTGAGTGCTGTGGAACACCCCCGGCCATAAGGAATGGTCACCGGCCATGGGGAATGGTCATCGACCACCTGTGGAGATATCGGCCACAAATTGTTGGTCGGTCGGCACTGTATGTAGCCAAGGCATAAACATTGGAACGTATTCCAAATGCTCTTAACCAAAGAGGGAGGAACATAGGGACGCATCCCTGTGTTTCAAAAAAGTGGAAGAAACATAGGGACGTATCCCTGTGTTTGTCATGCAATGCACATAAACAAACAAATGGAGCTCAACCTCTATCACAAGCAATTCAAGAGGCAAGGCACACATGCCAATGCAATGCAATCCTAAGCATGTGAGCCTAAGTGTGCAATATGGGCATGCAAGCAAATGATGATGCTAGGCACACAACCTAAGGAATCAATCATGCAAGGCATGGGATGACAAGCATTCAACATGTAATATGGGCATGCAAGTAAGCAAGGCATGTGACAACATGTTGGGCAACTTAGCCGAGATAAATGCATGCCAAATGTGAAGTCACCTAAACATGCAACAACACATGATATGCCAAGTATACAATCAACACACAAAGGGTGGACTTAAACCAATTTAGGCAGCCCTCAAGCAAGCCCAAAACAATGACCAACAACTAAGGAAATGAGGCCAATTGCACATATAAGCATGCATATAAACATGGTCCATCACTTATCATTGAAGAGCAACTCTCAAGCACACTTAAGAGGATGAAAACATGGACAAATGGCATGCATTATAAGCTCTAAAAATCAAGTCATGAAAGGTGCCAAACCAACTAGACAAGGCAAACAAGGCATGCAAGCAAAGCCAAAATTAAAGGTGTATTGAAGTACACTTAGCAAAATTGGACATGGCATGAGTTAAGCAACCAAAATCAGAGTTTTAGCATATTAAGACAAAGCCAATAACACATCTAGATGGCATCTAAATGGCTTAAACATGCAAGCATGCACAAGGGCCTAAACAAGGGGCATAAGACAACAACCTTTTAACACATTAAAGGGGCATCAAATGCGAGCGTGCAAGCATGTCATGAGGACTGAAATGACATGTTAGATGGTTCCAAACCACTGGAATAATGCAAGTAATGCATGCTCATGGTTCATACACTTGAGGCTTACAAGCCAAGAATGCAAAGAGGCTAAACAAAGCATGGAAAGCATGGCTAAGACAACTTACATCAGACCTTAAGCATGGAAAAACGAGCCAAAAAGCTTCACAAAGCTTGGCCAAAACAAGCAAGCATGGTAATCTACATGCTAAGTACATGATAAGGCAAATGATGGCATTACAAGACATGTATGTAAGGCAAGCATGGTGTGTCTAAACCAAGTAAAAACAGTGCTATATTATGACAAAATAAGCACAAATAACAACTAAGACATAGCCAAAATGCACTTAAAAATGGTGCTCACATATGAGGCTAAAATGGCCCTTTTCAAGGATAACAAGGAGAGGGGGTGGCCCCTCCTTCTTAGGACCTTAAGGCACCATCCTCACCACTGAAATCCCTCAAGATTTTAGTGGTGAGGAGGCCCAAACAAAGTGGTCCCAGAGCTCACCAAAATAACATAAAAATAGGGCCAAACAAGGCCTAACAGGGGTCAAACAACCCCAAAGCTCAAAGCAACCTTAAACAACTATTTTAAGCAGATAAAAACAGAACTTTTATATGTTATATGCAAAGTCTAAAAATAGTTGCAAGATAGTCAAAAAAGCTATGCAAAAATGGGGAATAAAGAGCAAGAACACTCACCCTTGAAGAACACTTCTAAGATCACAAGACCAGACCTCTTCTTAGATCAAAACCAGCTCAAAAAGTCCAAGATCAACCCTCTAATGCCCCAGCAACTAAGGAAAGGTGTAATGGTAGGTGTTTGTGTGCAATAGCAAGAACAAACACACACTAAACACTCAAGAGAGGGAGAGATATAGAGATAGAGTATGAACAAACCCTAACCCTAAAACTCAAAGCTCTGAAAATTTTTGTAACCCTAATGGAGGGAGAAGAGGCTCCCTCTTATAGACAATCCCTCTTGTAAAGCTTTCCAAACAAGCTAGTCAAGAGGGAGATCCCTCCATACACGTGTATGGAGGGGAGCAAAGTGTATGCCAGCTAGCACAGCTGGCATAAAAATATCTGCAAAAGCAGATGCACAGTGGTCTGCCGGCCAAAAATGTAATTTGACCAAAATAGATGGCCAGTCGACTACAAAGGGTGCCGGTCGGCCAAACATTTGACCGGTGGCAACAAACCAGTAGTCGGTGGCCTCAAGCCATGGCCGGTGATGTGTGGGGATGGTCAACAACATTCCCTGCCCCTCCAAGACAAAGCACAATTGTTTGGTGCAAAACTAGACACAAAATAGTCGAGTCGAGAGATCCTGAGGCAAGGCGCGTAACCAAGACCTTCGGGAACTCAAGACAAACACAAACAAGGATGATCACCGAGTGTTCAAGCGGTGACGTCCAAGTCTTGAGGACGGTCAAAAATAGGGTGTCTACAGGTGCCCCTCTTTGACAGAACTCGAAAGTCATAAGAATGACAGGAGTGAGTGTCAAAGCCCTGAGACGACCCATTTTTGACAAGGCCGAAGAATTAGACAAAGCATACATGACAATAAAGATATGAGCCCGAAAGCAGGGGCAAAATACAACTGATAATGCAAGAAGCCGAGCATAACTTATGATCATGCAAAGAAAGCTGTAACGAAGCATAACATGCAACAGTTTTAAGCTAGCATACAACAATCCAACTACACTATAATGCAGAAGGGATGTAAGTGAATTATGCAATTCTCGATACGTCTCACTCGGAGGATACAATACCTGTCCGGTTCGTCTGGTTGCACCAGCCCCAAATGAACCGTACATACAATATCGTGCCTGTAAAAGAAAGCAACTTAACAGGTACGATGTTGTTAGCAACATGCATAACATGTAAAATGACTGCAAAATGATATGCAATATATACAAAACTTTTGTATAATAATGCAAATGAAAATGCAATGCAATTGAATCATGATCAAATCATGAGCAGTTCAAAACCACACAAATGTCAAAAGGATGATGGAGATGCAAAGTCCGTCTACCATATAAAAGGTGCCGCAACCTTCAAACCAACATACCAGCGTGGAATAGGCGCGTACACATGCAGAACTATGAGTGATGTAGACGGACACAAGAACAAGTAATTGGGTGGAATGACATAAGTGGGGAAATGTCCCGCTGAGGAAAGACCAATGATCTTAATGCTGGATGCATAAATTACACTACAATGTAATATATACAACGGATATGGCATGCAGCCAAACCAAATCTTGCCTAGGA